ATGCAAGAGAGAATAGATGAGCAAAGCAGAAGAGATTTGAGAGTAAGAGGAGAGAGAGCAAGATGACAAGAGAGAGAGAGAGAGAGAAGAAGAGACGAAGAGAAGAAGAGAGAGAGAGAGAAGAAGAGAGAGAAGAGAGAGAGGAGCAAGACGAGACGAGCAGAGAAGAGAGAGACGAGGACGATGAGAGAGAGAGACGAGAGCGAGCATGACGAGATGAGAGAGACGACGACGAGATGAGAGACGAGAGACGAGAGAGAAGAGGCAGAAACGAGAGAGAGAGAAGACAGAGAAGAGAAGAGAAGAGATTAAGACGCAGAGAAGAGAGAGAAGAGAGCAAGAGAGGAGAGACCCGAGAAGAGAGAGAGACGAGGAGGAGAGAGAGAAGACGAAGAGACGAGAGAGAGAGAAGAGAGAGAGACAAGAGAGAGAGAGCAGATGGCGAGAGAGAGAGAGAGAAATAGATTAGATAATAGATAGAGAGAAAGAGAGTATGTGACAAACAGAGATAGCCAGAAAAAAGACAACAATAAAAAAACGCGGAAGTCGAAATATAGATAACGTTCTGATAAAATACAAAGCCAAAAATACATTTCGGATTTCGTCAGACCATATCAGATGTAGTTCATGCGATAAAAGAAAAACACAAAACAAAAGATAAACAAACCACATAGATGAACAGACAGAGTAGAAAAGATAAACAAACGCCATAGATGACAGACAGATAGAAGAGAAAGAACGAGATAATTGAGCTGTTTGTACGAGTAATAAGCCATTCCAGGTACTAACCGAATTGTCGTAATTTATACGTGCGTGACAAAATGCCTTTAGCCAGCAAGGAAAAAAGATGATAAATGAGAGATAAACGACACTAAGATTAACTATAAACAAAGGCAAATGTAGAAAGAAGGTGTGGAAGAAAATGGATAATTCTTCAGTGCAAATGATTTGATTGATGTGAATTACATGTTTTGCAAAACCGATCCTAATAAAAGTAAAAAATAAAAAGGAATAAGAAGGAAAAAGAAGGGAAAATGGGAAAGAAAGAAAACATAAAAAAGGGGAAACGAGATAAAAAATTCAGGAAAAAAAGAATGAAAGAGAAAAACAAAATATATGATAAACGGAGGAATGGGGGAATATCAATAACACCGCGAATTGTAAAATGGAAAATCAGCGAAAGAGAGTCAAACAAAGAAGGAACATTATATTCTCTTTTCATTTTTTTTCTCTCGCCAAACCATCTATTTTTTTTCAATATACAATATTCCCTTAAAACACCTGATCTTTTCCAGAACACCTGTAGGCTGTTGACCCCTTTATACGAGTACATGCCCAATTCTTTACCTATTGCCTCTTGCAAATCATTTTTGCCCAAATTCTTGCCTATTAATATTAATTTACTATTATTATTACTATTATTCTTACCTATTATTCATATTCTTATTATTTTTATTATTATTATTAATGTATTATTTATCTCATAATATATTAATTTACTTAATTAAATTTATTAATCTTTATATTATTATTAGTATTGCCCATTTTACCTATTGCTCTTGCAAATTTCATTTTACCCAATTTTATTTATTTTTATTATTATTATAATGTATTATTTATCTATTAATTAATTTACTATAAATTTATTATCTATTACTATTATTTTGTATTGCCCAATTTTACCTTTGCCTCTTGCAAATTCATTTTACCCAATTCTTACTATTATTTTTATATTATTATTAATGTATTATTTATCTATTAATTAATTTACTATTAAATTATTAATTTACTTTACTATTATTAATTAGTTTGCCAATTCTTACCTATTGCCTCTTGCAAATTCAGCTTACGTCAAACACAGTCCACACACACCACACACACGTACTACACACACACACACACACACGTACTACTTACACACATGTACACAAATGTACCCCACACACACACTTACACACATACACACACACACACACACCACACACGTACGCACACACACACACACACGTACGTACACACACACACACACACACACGTACTTACCACACATACACACACGTACTACACACACACACACACACACACACGTACGTACACACATACACACGTACGTACACACATACACACGTACGTACACACATACACACGTACGTACACACATACCACACGTACGTACACACATACACACACTCCACGTACGTACACACATACACACATGTACGTACACACATACACACACACACGTACTACACACATACACACACACACACACGTACGTACACACATACACACACAAACACACTCAGACGCACGCCACAACCACACATATGTATACGTGTGTGTGCGTGAGTGGCTACATATATAGACAGGGAAATTAGATACACATAAAAACATACGATACACTATGAAAAATAATCAATAAACCAGGAAGTGAACTCAAAAATCCGCCTCTTTCTCTCCAGGTCGACGTGGACAAGCTGAAACTACCACCACTTCTTCGATAAGAAAGACTAGCAAATAGTTACATTAATTGCATTAATTAATTCACAGCGCTCATTAACCAGGAAAATAATCAACAAAACCAGAATGAACTCAGATCCCCATTTTCTCTCCCCCAACAGGTCGACGTACAAGCTGGAACTACCACCACTCTTCGACGATATAAGAAAAGACTAGCGAAGAGTTACATTAAATAATTACACTAATAGTTACATTAATACATTATTAATTCATAGGCTCATGTAACCCATGGAAAATAATAAAAAACCAGGAATGAACTCAAAAATCCCCATTTTTCTCTCCCCCAACAGGTCGACGTGGACAAGCTGAACTACCACCACTTCTTCGACGATATAAGAAAGACTAGCAAATAGTTACATTAATTACATTAATTAATTCACAGGCTCATTAACCCAGGAAAATAACCAATAAAACCAGGAATGAACTCAAAAATCCCCATTTTCTCTCCCCCAACAGGTCGACGTGGACAAGCTAGACTTACCCACCACTTACCTCCCCCCTCTCTTCGACGGCCTAGGGAGACGAGCCAACAGTTACATCAAATAATCACATTAATTAATTCACAGACTCATTAACCCAAGAAAATAACCAACAAAACCAGGAAAGAACTAAAAAAATCCGCCTCTTTCTCTCCCCAAGGTCGACGTGGACAAGCTCGACTACCACCACTACCTCCCCCTCTTCTTCGACGGCCTGAGGGAGACGAGCCACCCCTACGACTTCTTCAGCAGGGCGGGCATCCGGGACCTTCTCTCCCGCGGGGGGGACAAGGATCCTCCCGGTCCATCCCGAGCTTATTCTGCCTATTAAGAGTGGCTTGGGGAAGAAAGGGGAGGGAAAGAAAGGGAGGGAAGAGGGAGTGGGTGAGGGGCCTGGGAAGAGGGAGAGGTAGAAGGGAAGGAGGGAGGGGATAGAGGGAGGCGGGAGAGGGGGAAGAGTGGGGAGGAAAGGGAGGGAGAAGAGAGGGGGAGGGAAAGTGTGAGGGTGCAGGGGCGAGGGGAGAGGGAGAGGGGAGGCGGGGAGGAAAGGGAGGCGAGAGAGAGAAGGGAAGGGGGGAGGGGCGAGGGGCGAGGGGAGAGAGAGAGAAGTGAGACCAGAAGAGAGATAGACAATTATAGTAGATAGATTGGTAGAGAAAGAGAGAGAGGGAGGGAGGGAGAGAGAGGAGAGAGAGAGAGAGAGAGAGAGAGAGAGAGAGAGAGAGAGAGAGATTGAGAAGAGAGAGGAAGAGAGAAAGAGAGAGCGAAGCGAGAGATCGAGCGAGAGGGAGAGAAAGATAGAAATAAATAAATAAAACCTAGCTAATACAGCAGAACGAATACGCGCATTACAAAATTAAAATTCTAAGGATCACTCAAAAAGCTTTAGCCAAAATAAGGACATCTCGACCTTTAGAAACTTTTTCGTAGATTGCCAAAGAAATTCATAGCGCAGTAATATATAAGGAACCATTACACCCTTGTAGATAGCGCCAAAAAATGGACATAAAAACTCATATCTATTACGTTGCCTAAATTGATATCCATTGCAGGTATTGTAGGAAATGTAGAAAAGGTATGAATGAGACTGGATATCTTCACAATACAAGAGATGTATTTGACCGGTTTCGATTACGTCTTCATCTGATGAATCTAGCGAAAAAGTAATCGAAACCGGTCAAATACACCTCTTGTATTGTGAAGATATCCAGTCTCATTCATACCTCTTGTATTGTGAAGATATCCAGTCTCATTCATACCTTTCCTACACTTGTCAACATGGATACGGTTCATGGTAGGAAATGAATAAGGTTTAACCCAGCTGAAGTGGAGTGTGTTAGCCCGCGTTGTGTAACCCTTTATCGATCGTCTTTGTTTACCTGGGTCCTTACTCTCTTGACTAAACAACACACGCCACGCAAATCACACATGAATACATAAGTAGGTCCACACACGCACACAGGCAAATATATATGAATACATACGTACGTAGACACACGTGTACGACATATACATGAATACATAAGTATACACACACACGCACATATACATGAATGCATAGTAAGGCACACACACAGCCACGCACATATGAATACATAAGTAGGTACACACACACGCACATATATATGAATACATACGTACGTACACAAAGCAATATACATATATATGAAATACATATGCACGTACAACAAAACGGACATATACATGAATGCATACGAACGTACACACACACATATGCCATATATACATGAAATACATTACGTAATTGTTAGACCACAACGCACATATACATGAATACAGAATTAATACATTTGCACGCAGACACACACGCACCTATACATGAATATATACGTACATGGACACACATATACATCGATACATACATACGAACATAGACACACACGCACATATACATACACATACATACGTACACACACATATTATATGTGTATGTAATGTATAATCATATTTGTAGGTATGTGCAGTATGTCCACATATATCTATCTTATAAATATGTTTTCATGATAAATATGACATTCCAATAAAAAAAACTAATATGACCTCAACTTTTTTCTACTAATAGAAAAAAGAGTGATATTTCTGCAGTTATGTGGCTAACAGATGGTTCCTGTACTATTATAAAGTGCTAATGAACGCTCCTTTTGTGTTGCCGCCTGTGTGAAGGGGTGATTGCGTGAGATAAGAAGGGGGGGAGCAAAGGGAGAGAGGGAGGGGGGTAATGGGGTAAGGGAGGGGAGGAGGTAGTAGGGTTAAGGAGAGGGAGGGGAGTGGGGTAGGGGGAAGGGAGGGGGTAGTGGGGGTTAAGGAAGAGGGAGGGGGGTAATGGGGTTAAGGGAGGAGGAGGGGCGGGAAAGGGAGCGAGGGGGGGTAATGGGGATAAGGGAGTTAAAGGGAGGGGGAGGGGGCGGGGTAATGGGGATAAGGGAGAGGGAAGGAGGGGGAGGGTTATGGGGTTACGGGAGAGGGAGGGGGAGGTGGGGGGGGGTCATGAGCTATATCCGGGTTATATTTTTATGTATTTTCTCTCTTTTTTCTTCGATTACCTGTGTTTTGCGTTATGGTGTCTTCTTCTTTTTCTTAATTCCTCGCCTCCTTATTCTTCTATTTTGCCTCTGTCTCCCTCTCTTCCTTTCTCCCATCCAAAGATTACCCTCTTTCTTCTCCTCTCTCTTTTGGTACAATCCGCTTATTTTATCTATCTGTCGTCTCATCTCTCTCTCCCCTCTTTCGTGTTACTCATTCTCTGTGAAATTCCTACCTTATTTTCCCCTCTCTTCCCGTTCTTTTCCTTCTCTGTCCTAGCTCCCCTTATTTTTCGCCTCTTCTTATTTCTCCTCCTTTTTCTTCTCCGTTTTATCTCTCCTTCTTGTCCTTCTCTGTTTTATCTCTCCTTCTTTTCCTTCTCTGTTTTATCTCTCCTTCTTTTCCTTCTCTGTCCTATCTCCCGTTATTTTCCCCCTTTCTGTCCTATCTCCGCTTCTTTTCCTTCTCTGTCCTATCTCCCTTTCTTTTTCCCCTCTCTGAGTCCCATTCTCTCTCTCTCTTCCCCTTTCTGAGTTCTCTCCTTTCTTCCATTTCTATAAGTCCTATTTCCTTTCCCTTGCCCTTCTCTTAAGTTCTGTTTCCACTTTTCCCCCTATATCATATCTCCCCTTCTTTTCTCTACGTCCCATCTCCCTTTATCCCTCTCTATGTCTATCCACACTTTCTCTTCCCTTCTCTGAATATTATTTCCCATTCTTTCCCCTAATTACGTTTTAATCTCTTATGGTCTTTTTTCGTCTTTCTCTCATTCTATAGTCTTGTCTCCCCTCCTTTTATCTTCTTTGTGTCCTGTCTCCCCTTCTCTTACCCTCTCTAAGTATTATTTCCCCTCATTTATCCTCTCTATGTCCTATCTCCCCTTTTCTCTATCTCCCTTACCCTCGGAAATTAAGCAATTTTGTATTTTGTCATCCACCAAACGTATTCTTCTCCCACCTCGTATATTCCCCTTCGTTCCATGGCTTTGTTCTCCCCTCGTTTATTCCTCTGCCCTTCCTCCATCTTTATTAATTTCCCTATTTCCTTCCGTTCCCTCCCGACCACGCAGTCGGAAGTGAGGTCAGTAGACAGTGTAACCAGAATAACCTTTTTCAATGAAGGTTAAAAGGTCGGATATTGATAAGGTCAACGAAGTCCCGGAGGAAGGAAAGTGGGAGAGATAAAGGAGATAATGAGGTACACACGCACACCCACACACGCACACGCGCACAACACACAAAAAAAATAAATAAAGAATTCGTGAACTTATCATTTAGCATGACATTATCTTCTCACGCACGTACGTAAATGTCCAGACATTCACAAAGAAAAAGTATCGACGATCATATCTTCAAACACGCCCTCCACGCACACACACACACACACACACACACACACACACAACAACAACACACATATATATATATATATATATATATATATATATATATATATATATATATATGTATGTATGTATAATGTGTGTATATGTATACACATAATATTTGTATATGTGTGTGTGCGTGTGTACATTTGTTTATTCATTCATTTTTCTACGTACACGCACTTATACATACCATACCCGAGTAAGTATACTCACGTGCGTATATGCATGTGGGAGTACGTACCCTTACAGCGACGGAAGAAGCCGAACACAGGAGGAAAGATTTCTTACTGATATCTGTCTGTCTATGAATATTCACTTATCTATCTATCCTATCTATCTACGTATTTGCCTTTCATTCTCTTCAACCAATATATCTATCTACATACGTCACTTAGGACTGAAAAAGTAAAAAAATCTGCGGTAAAAATAACATTCCAGTTTTCTTTCCATGATATAGAACTCGCAGCAAAAGCGTCAAGTTAATTTCGTAAGTGAAACTAGGCGCGCCGTCCGTAGAGTTTCACGGGTGACGTACCGCGTGTTGGGGGTTAGCGTGAAGGCATTTTAAAGCCTCATTTGTAACGGCAGATAGACAGACAGGCGAGGTTGTAAAGAAGAAAAAAGAAAAAAAAGAAAGAAAAAAAAGAAAAAAAGAAAAAAAAAAAAAAAAGAAAAGAAAGAAAAAAAAAAAAAAAAAAGTAAAAGAAAGAAAAATAAAAAGAAAAAAAAAGAAAACAAAAGAAGAGAAAGAAGAAGAATAAGAAAAAACAGCAGGAATTTAGCGTAAAAAGGGATTTGCGAGGAACTTCTATATAGATAACTTTTCTTTAGTCTCGCCTCTCATTCCTTTGTTTCCCATTTTCCTTTTATTATTAGCGTTTAGTTGTAATCGTATAATCATTTGGTGTGTCGCATTGCTTTCATTTAAAGTTGATTTCTTTATACATTTACACAATTTCAATTCTTGATTTACAGAAATAATAAAATTTATTCGTATAACGCAATTCTTCCATCGGATACATGTTCCTATATTATCACCTAAGAATCCCTTTGAAAGTCTAATCTTCATTATTTATTTTTATTATTATTGCCAATACCATTGTTATTATCGTCAATCTATATTATTTTTCTTATCATTATTGCTATTATCATTCTTTATCACCATTTTATCACTATTATCTCTACTTGATTCATTATCATTATCATCCTTTTTGACATCATTATCGTAATTTTTATATTATTATTATCATTAGCTTATATTATCATTATCATTGTAATAATAAAAAAATGACAATGATGATTATTTTCATTATCATTATTATGAATAATATCATCATGATCATTATTACTATCATTGTTATCACTGTTAGCGTTATTGTTACCTGTTACATAGCTTTAAACACCATTAGCAAGTAATAGCAATATCATCAATTATGCTCATTATCATTCCCATCATTACTACCACTATCGCCATTATCAATATATATCACTATAATTATTATTGCAATAATTAGCATAACCATGATTACTCTAAATACCAAAAATGCTTACTCTAATTACCTGAATCATAATACTCTAATTACAATAAACATATTACTTTAATCACTATGATAATAATTAAATAATTACTCTAATCACTATGATATTACTCTAATTACCATAACCATAACATAAATTGCAATAATCATAATTACTCTAATTACCATAACCATATTTCACTGATCATAATAATCATAATTATTAATTACCATAACCATAATAACATAAATTTCAACCATCCCAATTACCCAATGACCAACCACCATTACTCTAACCCTAATCCCTCCTGCAGGTGCCCTCAACACCCGAGACGTCCGCGTGATCTGCACCGTCCTGAAGGTCCTGCAGGAGCTGGTGATGTCGGCGCCCTTGGTCGGGGAGTCCCTGGTCCCCTACTACAGGCAGATCCTCCCGACGCTGAATCTCTTCAAGCATAAAAATGGTGGGTGGAGGGTGGATGAGGGGGGTGGGGTGAGGGTGGGGGAGTGGAGTGTGGGTGAAGAGGTAGGGGTGGGTGGGGTAGTGGGGGGTGGCTGGAGTAGGGGGGTAGTGGGGAAGGGGAGGGGGGCGAGGGGCGAGGGGGTGAAGAGGTAGGGGAGGGGGGTGAGTGGAGTAGGGGTTGAGGGGTAATGGGGGTAGTGGGGTAGTGGGGGTAGAGGGGGGAAGAGGTAGGGGTTGGTGGGTAGTGGGGTAAAAGAGGTAGGAAGGAAGGGGTGGGGGTTGGCTAGATGGTGGATATGAGTGTACGGAGAGTGGAACCTCTTCCAGCGTGGGAATGTCGGAGTGACGGGTGGAGTGGGAGGGAGTGGATTGAGGATATGCGGGGGGGGGGGGGTAGGTGTAGGGCTGTGGGTGGGGGAGGGATGAGGTGGATGGCAGGGAGTGGAACCTCTTGAAGCATGAAATGGGAGGTGAAGAGGTGTAGTGGATTTGTGGATGGGGGCGAGTGGGTGGGTGTGTATGGAGGTTGGGTGCTGGTGTTGGTGAGGGTGTGGGGTGAGTAAGGGAGGGTTCAGATACCTGGGGGGTGGGGGGTGAGTGTGGGTGAGGAGTGGATGGGTGTCGATGTGGATGAGGGTTTTAAGGGTATGATGTGTGAATGAGGGTGTTGGTGTTGAGTGGGGATGTGGGTGTAGCATGAGGAGTGTCGGTGTTGGGGCGTGTGGATGAGAGAGAGAGAGAGAGAGGAGAGAGAGAGACGAGGAGAGGGATCGAGGAGAAGAGAGAGAGGAGGAGAGAGAGACGGAGGGAGAGGAGAGGAGACGAGAGAGAGAGAGGGAGAGGAGACAGAGAGAGAGAGAGAAGATGTTGATACGATATGTTGTGCAGAGTTATGAATAATAATGTATAATGATAATGGAATAATAATAATAATAATAATAGTTATTGATGGATACAGATGATAACAATAATTAATAACCCGATATATTAACCAGTTATTTAATATATATTGTTATTTAAATGATAATAATAATAAGATACAACAAACAGCAACAATTAATATAATAATAATAATTTTCATAACAATCCATAATGAACATGATAATCCCAACCACTCTGACTATAACAACGATACCGATACAACAACAAACAAGACCAAGATAACGACACTACCACACTCACCCCCCTCTTCCCCCCCCCAACAGTGAACTCTGGGACGAGATCGACTACTCACAGCAACGTCGAGAGAATCTTGGAGACCTTATTCAAGGAAACTCTCGAGATACTGGAGAGAGACACGGCGGAGAGACGCATATATTAATATTAAGTATATGGTGCCGACGTACCAGTCTTGTATGATGAATTGAGTGAGGGAAAGGGGGAGGGAGGAGGGAAGGATGGAAGGAAAGGAGGGAAGGGGAGGAAGAGAGTGAGTGAGTGAATGAGAGCGAAGAGAAGAGAGAGAGAGAGAGAGAGAGAAGAGAGAAGAGAGAGAGAGAAGAGAGAAGAGAGAGAGAGAAAGAGAGAGAAAGAGAGAGAGAGAGAGAGAGAGAGAGAGAGGAGAGAGAGAGAGAGAGAGAGAGAGAGAGAGAGAAGAGAGAGAGAGAGAGAGAGAGAGAGAGAGAGAGTAAAGTAGAATAATACATACGTATACATACATGCATATATATATATACATATATATATATATATATATATATATATATATATATATATATATATTATAATATATGTATATGTCGTGTGGGGTGTCTGTATATATATATATATATATATATATATATATATATATATATATATATATATATATATATATATATATATATGCATATGCATATGTGTGTGTGTATGTATACCAGTGTATGTCATGCGTTTGTGTGTCTTCACATATGCATAGAAAAAGAGGCGAGAAAGGGAGAAAGAATGAAGGGTAAAAAAATCCAGAAGTCTGTTATGAACTTTTTCCATGTTTAAGCACAACCTGTGTAATGCATCGACACATTATATGTATGATGGTTAATGGAAATGTAAAAGCTATCCCCAGAGATGAGGTTGAAATCTTTTCTGTGTAGGCAAAGTAATCCACGTGTTATATTACATAATATCTGTTCAGTGTTCTTTGTCTCACGTTCTATGCATTTTCTATGTGGAAAATATATAATCCATCAGTGAAAGGAGAGAGAGAGAGAGAGAGAGAGAGAGAGAGAGAGAGAGAGAGAGAGAGAGAGAGAGAGAGAGAGAGAGAGAGAGAGAGAGAGAGAGAGAGAGAGAGAGAGTGAGAGAGAGAGGAGAGAGAGAGAGAGAGAGAGAGAGAGAGAGAGAGAGAGAGGAGAGAGAGAGAGAGAGAGAGAGAGAGAGAGAGAGAGAGAGAGAGAGAGAGAGTGAGAGAAAGAGAGAGAGAGAGAGAGAGAGAGAGAGAGAAAACAGAAAAAATACTAAGACATATTCCGTGAAAAAAAAGAAAATCACAGGGTAATTTTTTAGATAGCACTCAGCATCACACGTGAATATACATCATGCGAATAGCCCAAAGTCAACAGAAAATAAAAGAAAAAAAGAGCGCTTTTTAAAAAATGCGTCAGACTAAAACGAAAAAAATAGACAAAAAGCAACAAAAATTAAACAGTTCCCCGCCTAGTTAGTCTTAACAAGGCGAAAGAGGTGCCATAAACAAGCTAGTTGGAGACAGTAGATCCTTTAGGCTAAGTCTTTTAGGCTAGGCAGTTGTCTTCCTTAGAATAAACGGAATTTTTATGCCTGATTATCTTCTTTTTTTCCAAGTGGCATATATTTGTCGTTCTCTGTAGGACTCTCCCCCTGCATATCCAAAATCCTAAGCTGCAATTTGTGTGTGCAATAGAAAAGGCAGATGCAGACATAGAACTGAAACGCCAATGCTGATCCGACATTTCTGCTCCTAGCCAACCTTATACCTTATACCGTATATTAGCGCGTCAGACTTTCCTGCTAACGTGCATTTCCTTCTTCATTTCCTTGCGTATGCAGCACGGAAGGAGAACAAAGCGAAAATTAGTACAAAGACACATACACAAAGAAGTTTACACACAAAGCACAGGCGTTTGCGAGTTCCTTAGATCCGATTGAGGTCTGATATGTAGAGATGGAATCACAGTGTTGAATCGTGTATGGCACTAACGCTGCTTTAGATGTCCGACTTCCATGATGTTCCAAAGATGGTTCATCTATCGTAGAACAGGTTTATATGACGTTGTTGATGTCGGGCTATGATGTCATCTACACAAACCCGAGAAGGATGAATATAAAGGAAGATAATCAACTGGCTTTTGTGATGTCAGATGAACTTAGGATCACAAAGGTGATACGGAAATTCATAAAGAATCTGGTGAAGAGACAGCGATCGACTAATTGAGGATGAATTAATATCAACCTCGTTTTCTTGTGCATTTGGCCAGGCAGTTATTTCAGTCATTTTCGCATACTGAACATATGCTTCGCAGCGAACTAATGAAAGTAAGTCCTAAACCTCCAGATGTATCCTTTCTTCTATAGCTTTTCATTGTCTTTATGAAGGAGTGTATACCGGAACTGGTGTCAATTCCCAGGAAAGTTTAGCTGTATATGAGAGTTTGGCGTAATGCGGTGATCATGGCCGATGCACAGTGACGGCCAGAAGTCTCTTAGTGAACTGAAGCTTCGAATCAATCTCACCCTAAACAAAAAGTGTTGTATTAAGCGGGCGTTCGAAGAGGAATTCGAAACGTGTTTAACAAGAGTTTTGCCCGTGATTCTACTGTACCTTGAAGACGAGAAAGATCAGGTGCCGGATTCTCAAAAGAGCCTTAAGTTAAGGCGCGTTGGAGACCTTAATAACCGTCCTGCTGTATTTCCCTTGTGTAAAGAGAGGAGAGTGCTTAATTCCCGCCCGCCGTGAAGCGCTGAAGGCTGCTCTCCCCCTGCCTTAACTCGTACCAATATGAAATGTATCCATGTTGACAAATGTAGAAAAGGTATGAATGAGACTGGATATCTTCACAATACAAGAGATGTATTTGACCGGTTTCGATTACGTCTTCATCAGTGGACATCGTACCAATATGACGGGTCCCTTGCTCTGTGCTTGGGCCGTAAGATCGATCGGCCGTAAGTTAAGGCGCCTTAAGGAGATACGGCGCCTTAACGCGTATGGGTCGTAAGATCGCTCGTAAGTTAAGGCGCCTTCACGCGTTTGAGAATCCGGTCCCTGGACATGTATCCCTCGGTTTAACTACGTCTGATAGCCCATGTGATAAGATGCGTTTCCAGCATTTAGAAAACAAAACAAAACAGAAAACAGTAGTAGATAAAGCGTGCATTAATATTCCGTCCAATTGCATCTATGTCAATTCTCTTTCCCTCTCCGTTAAGCTTCGTTCACGGTGGTATGTCACGGAACATATTCTGTATTTGTTATTTATGAAGATATAGCGTGTGGTGTGAAGTTCTTAATGAATTGTAAAGAGATGGTTGTATAATCAGCGACTTATGTTTGGTGTTCTTCCTGTAACTACAGTAAAAAAAAGTACACGCTTCTATGCTGAACATGACATAGAAGCAAAGTAATTTAGCCAAATAACACGATTATTATGCCGGTTTTCTTAACATGAACAAAATACCAGAAAGATTAGTTCTTCATTCACAACAGCAATTACATATCCATGAAATATAACTTTAGAAATACACTTTAATCCAATTCGTTTTGTGTTCGTCGTGGTTTTAGCATGTACATGTACTAAAAATAACGAGTTTATGTTTCATATGTACACTTTACTCATTTATTGGTTTATGTATTCTTCAATTAAGGCGAAGATGCACGGGATAGTTTAATGATGACTCATGATAGTTGACAGTTGTTGACAGGTGATTTGATTGACAAGATGGTGTTTAAATGTTTAAATCACTGATGGTATTCAGTGCATTCAGCCAGTCTTACTTACTTCCCTAAGCGCATCTTCGCCTCAATAACAATAAAAACAATGATGGAACTTCTTCAAGACTATTATTTCTAGAAAGATCTTCAACTGCCACGCTTCTCCTGCTCTGAAGTGAAATCTTGAGGTCAAAATCATTGTTGAGTTGACACTTTCACTGGCATCGTTTCTGACAAAGTTGTTCTTTGTGTTCTTGTGTTATGGGAAATAAAATGAACCATTAAAGAGAAGCTGTTTTCTTCACCTGTCTTCGTGTGTGAGAGAAACGCAGATAGATGGAAATGAATTCAGATCTACAGAGAAACAGGTTATAATAGATTTATTATTATTAAATTGCAGTAGATTCACTCGGCCAGTTAATATTGTACGAGGCCCAACCAATGCATATATGTGCGACATACATATATGCAGAAATAAATCATATATGTCTGATAGATATGTTTTTATATATCTATCCTGATTTGCATTTATTTCGTATATGCTAATTCGTGTAAGTGAATATTCATTGGGGCGGGAGTCGTGCAATTTTAGCAAACTAGCCATTGTCACTAACCGTCTTGCTCAGTAACAATACCTACTTAAATTGAGCCAAATAAAGCGATATTACTATGCTATCATATTCAACATAAGCAATATGGTGAAAGTTATATAAAAACTTTATTCTGGCTAAAGACATTTCCAAGGTTCAATCTACTTTTTATTTGGATACACTTTTAATGCTTGTTCTAATTGCACAGTATCTTAATGTAATTAGTTATTTAGAAATAGGCACCAATGACAATGTATCACAAGGTATATGTTTTATTAACCCAAACGTAACCCCACGAAGTAAATAATTTGTTTTACCATGTTAAACATCACCATATAAGTGTCAATACAATACTTGTATTTTTTTTTTGGGGGGGGGGTTACCAAAGGGAAGAAGAGGGGTAAGGACCAAAAGTACCAAGTGTGTATATTGTCGCGAGGTATGTGACTCAACTGCCTTGGTACCACCCGTCTCATCTTTACCACTTAATCGTGTGAGTTACTTATTCCTTTCTTTGTGTTCTTATAGACTTTACTGCAGCTTACTGTGTTTGAATCAGATCCTGATACTCATGAAATAGTACAAGACAGATTTTCGTTTTATATTCACCTGTCTAGCAATCTTGCGGACCAGCGTTCAATCCCACTCCGGCCAGTGAGTGGTATCCCGGCTACTCCTTGCACACAGCGGGAGATTTGGGCAAAATAAAACAGACAGTATGTCACAGCAAAGAATATCCATTGTAACAAATGGAATTAAAACTAAATCTTAATCCTGTGGAGCTATTACACACCCTGACTATATGCTAACATAATACTTCCAAAACAAGGGTACTCATTTTGTTGGAGGCTATAAATTTGGGTTACATATATATAATACATATATATAC